TTTTTTTTTTTTTTTTTTTTAACGATCGGATGATTTGGTTCTCAGCTTCAAGCAAACGCAGAAATCTTTCTTTGGATATCTTGAGAATCGGTTCACTTCGCGAGACGTTGAAATTTAGCGTAATACTTCTTTCTGTAAAAATAGCACAAGAATGTATTTTTGACGAAATATACAAGTTTTTTTAAAAACGAAAAGAGCCTGTTAATTTCGATCTCTGTACATAAATATTGTACGTATGTTACTGTGCTTATAACAGTCGATTGTAACTGAGCTGTTCACGCTAATCTGCTGAAAATATTTACCGCAGGTATACATGTACGTGCTGTTGAAACAAGGTGCGTTGGCATTTTGATTGATTGGTTATGTACATTTGCTCCGAGTTGACGAAAGAAGCGATCGATTTTTTATAATTTGACAGGTATAATAAATGGTTATTTCCAGCTGAAGCTCTCAACTGCGACGAGTAACATCGTGCGAGGAAATTCCACGTCCAATTTTATCAATCGCCTACGATCTATCTGAAACGTTCCACTTTACAATTGTTTCATTCGACTTTACAATTTTACGAAAATGCAATTTTCGTTAGCACGTTCCACTTTACAATTGTTTCGTTTTACGAAAATGCAATTTTCGTTAGCTCGTTCGAGGGAACTCGAGTCCCGGGCTGTAGAGATTAAATTCTAAATAATTTAACAACGAAACGAACGTAGAGGAGTCACTCTCTTTCCTCCGGCGGAATACAAGATTGCGAGGACCAGATGCCAAATAATGTCCACGCCAGCAGGAGCTTCGAGAAAATGAAAAATTCATGTTATTGACTGAGCCACTGGCGTGGACAGAGGCGCTACGTGTTGAAATCAAATCCCGTTGAATTTTGCAATCTCGACTCGACTCGGCTCGTCCTTTAGGTTAGGTTAGATTTAGGTTAGGTTTCAATATTCCAACGCGAGACAAACGGGTTCGGTCACTTTGTTTCGCTCTGGTTTAGTTATCGAGTATAAATAAAAAGAATTGTTGACGCCAGAGCTAAAACACTACTTTAAACAATAAATAGCAAATAATGTTCATTTTTATAAAAATAACGAAGTCAAATATTTTCTTGAGTTCCGTATTGAAACGTTTCAATTTGTTTTCTTCATTTTGCAAATGATTCCGAAATTATTATTTGTCATTTGAAAATGTCTCTTTTAGGAGGTTCACTTATAATTAATTTGCCTCTAGATTAGTGTGAAAGTCACTACTATTTTTTTTCAAGCATAATTATGTAATTCTTGTTTATGTCAGTCGACGCAGCAGATCATTTCCTGTAAAAAAAGTATTATCAATTTACTTTAATTTTAATTTTACAAAGGCCATCGTAAAGACAAATTTTTTTTATGAAAAAATATATCTCCTAAACTAATTAGTTTCAGACGTGTAATTAATACTTTCTTTTGTAGAGAACGATCTGCTGCATTCTCGATCCAATCGATACCACATTTGTATAATCTAATCTATTTATTTTTTTTTTTTTTCGAAACCTACGTAAAAACAGAAATCAATAGTTACTATAAATAAATTAGTAAACTTGTATGATATTATCTAAGACGCTCTAATCGTTAAAGAAGGTAAAATCTCTCACCTGGCATAGTCATTATCCTCGTCATCCTTTTCGAAGCAAATGAACGCGACTAAATCATCCTCTTTAGACATATAGTCGATGCAGTAGTTTTCTGGTGAAATCCACACTGAGGGACTAAGTTTCAGCTCCCCATTTGCCGATACACCGTATGTATTGTTCATGAATTCGTAGTAAACATCGTAAGTACAATTCAATCCAATCTGCACACCGTATTCTACGGGACAAAAAGAGAAACACGGACGTAAGTAACGAAACAGACACTGAAGAAATTGGAAACATTTTTTTATTTTTTTTTTTTTTTCTGTAATTAATATTTAAAGATGAATTTAATATTATATTATTAAGAATTTAATATTATTATATTATATGAATGTAATATATTTAAAGGTGAAATTAGTCGAAACGTCAAAAACTCGAGTTCAAGAAAAAGAAGAAGAAAAAAATGTGTCGAAAAGTTCGAAACTTTGTAATTGTGCTTTGTACTATGCCAGAGTGTAATTAACAAATATCTCTATATTTCTTGTTATCTTTTGCAGGCAGAGACAACATTGCGTCAAGTACAAGAGAATTATAAATTACGTTTCAATCTGGTGAGCTTAAATTCTCAAAAGTTATGATCTTTGCCGGCGAGCAAACCTGTCGCGTCCCAAGCCGTTCCCGTGAAATTCGATTCGTAAAAATATTTGTAGAAATTCTGTTCTCTGGCGAATGCCGAGCAATTGAGCGTAACACCGTCCTCCACGTCCTCCATGCAACATTTTCGTACACATTGGCGTTCATGGCAGTATTCCGTGTTTCTACACACGCGGCCCACCAGCCGGCGACTCGACCGGAAGTCTGGCGTCAATTCCAGGCAAGAGTTCCCTTCCGTCAAACTCTCCACGGAATCCTGATTTCCCGACGACAGCGTCGCCTGGAAAATTACACACAGAATAAATTAATTAAATTATAAAAAAAATTAAATTATAAATAAATTAATATTAAATTATAAATAAATTAATAAGTTAATTTATATACATATAATATACGTTAATTATTTATATACATATAAATTAATATCAATATATTAATTTTACATAATATTAATATATACATATAAATTAAAAAATTAATATTAAATTATATAAATTAGTATTATTAGTACTATAAATTAATATTAAATTAATATTAAATATAAATTAATATAAAATTATAATAAATTAATAAATTATATAATAAATTAATAAGTTAATTTATATACATATAATATAAGTTAATTATTTATATATATATAAATTAATATTAATATATTAATTTTACATAATATTAATATATACATATAAATTAATAAATTAATATTAAATTATACAGTGTTTTCTCTTATTTCGAAGTTGAGACAACTTTTTGCAGTTCGAATACGAGAAATATTGGAAATTGGAATTCTTTACATTTATTTTCTGAAAAGGTCGAGGTCGCATGAAATTTCTATTTCGACGTGGAAGAAAAGAATCGTACAGCCTCGAGGGCTTCAGTAGATGAACAAAATTTTTCAATCCGTTTTGCACGTACCACGAGGATTTATAGTTCGAGAGGATAAGTATCTTCACTAGCTATGTGGTGTAAAAAGACACTTTAAAGTAAAATGAATGATGCACAGAGGCTGTAAATTCTCATACGAATTTTATTGTTCTACGATTTCGTTCCACAGAAAGAATTACAACAGTTTCAATATTTATTGTTCGAACATTAATAGGAGTATGTGCTGAATACTTTCAAAGCTATTTTTAAATTACTTGAAGAAAAGATATTGAAGATACCCCTCTTCACGAAAATTCTACAACTTCAAAACGCCCTTGGATGAATACTGAAAAAGTTCCTTTCAGTACAGAAATTATTAAAATTTTACAGTACAGAAATTATTAAAATGTAAATGTAAAATTTCAGTACAGAAATTATTAAAATTTTTCAGTGCAGAAATTATTAAAATGTAACAGAAATGAACAATATTCGTAAAAAATTGTAGGTATTAAATTATGTGTATGTGAGCGTTCATCTGTGGCAAATGAATTTTTGATATTAATGTATGAATCAGCATACCGAATGAAATTTAATCCGAATAATTTCTCATTTGTTCTTATTTACATGAGAGATTTAAAAATTCTCCCCAATATCTCTCAGTGAAAAAAAATGACCTTGATTCTCGGCGATCCAAGGTTTAGGTTAGGTTTAGGTTAAGTTAGATTTAGATTAGGTTCACGTATCCCTGAAGTGAGAAATTTGGGTCGAGAAAATTTGCTTGCAATACGAGAACGTTACAATAGCTCGAAATCAATAATTTTTATTCAATCTACGAATACTTTTCGAAACCAATGTGTGTTTCGAGAATGAAAAACACCTCGACAAGCATTCAAAGAATGAATTGGCGAAAGAGAGAGAGAGAGAGAAAGACAGAGAGGCATTGCTGGAACGTGACTTTAGAGATTTACAGGTATCAGTTGTGCAAAGCCATGCTCGGTTGGAACAAGAGACTCGTTCTACCTAATTCCATCCGCAATGCGGTTCTTAGTTTCAGCGCATCGTTGTTACGCCACTGCGCATTCGATTTGGAAAACTAGAAATCCGCTTCCTGCCGGGCAAAAGTAAATTTTCAGATATTTCGGAAAGTAATTCTTGCTCTTTGGTTAATAATCCGTCAAGGAGATTTAAAACGTTGCTCGTTAATTCTCAAAATAATTCTGCAAAATTCAAACGTAAACGTCGATGTTAATGATTAGTGTTCTAGACATTAATAGTATTATCATAAATTCGATTGACACGATGTTTCAGTCATTTAACTCTATCAAACGTGCGAGCATTTTTATCTTCGATAATTTAATCCTTATCGTTATTGATCAATAATTTATAAGGACGAATAACAAAAAAAGGAATACTAAAACGTGAGAACCACATCTCGAGAGAAGGCCTTCTCAAAACTGGGAATATCGGAAGGGAGAATGTAAATTAGTTAGGTTAGGTTAGGTTAGATTAGGTTTAGCTTAGGTTCCGTTTCGACTGGTTATGGTCGAAGAGCAAATTAAAGAAAGGTGAACGAGGCGAATGTCATTTTATCAAATCTTGCGTTTGCCCGCCGTGGAAGCTTAAAATTATAGGACACGAGCCATAAAGTTCAAATATCAAATCCTGAAGCCCGGAAGCTTCCAGACATCGCAGCAGATATACTGCAAAATAGCTGAGCAAGCGTTACCATCCTCTGGCCACGAATGAAAAATAAAATTTACTCGTGTAAAGTGTCGCATAAAATCTGTGGGAACGTGACTCTTTCGGCGAAGTAAGACGACATAATTCTAAAAAATTGGTTGGAAATCTTCACTCGAACAAAATTTCAAAAAAAAAAAGTAAACTCATAATTTTGGCTCCAGAGCAAATCTCTCAAACGGTTAATTTTTCTTATTAATTGACAAAAGTTTACGTTTATTATTTCTTTTATTTCAATTTCTAGGCCTAAAAATAAAAATATTAATTGAGACTAAAACAAAAATAAATATATTCATTTGGAATAGTGCAATGCTCTTTCTCACTTAGGAAACGCTATTTTTTCCATAAGATTATCAATAATTAATAATTTGAGTGCCATTTCCGAGAGATGGAAATTTTATTTAATGTACAAATTGATGATATTCCAATTATTTGTTATTATCTTTTTTTGCACCTTCCTTTAATTCTTTGAGTGTTCAAAATTAGTTACAACATTAATACTATCATCTTTAATAAACTTCTAATCTAAACTTTACTATCTTACTATCTTATATTTACTATAATATTTAAATTTTAATACTATCACTTTAATACATCCAAAACTTTAATACTAAATGAAAAGCATACAGCAAATTATGAATGTATACGTCTTTTCACATATCTATTCACTTTATTGTGAATTTCACTATATTTGAATCTATCCTAATTCTATTATTGATTATAAGATTATATGTCTACTCTAATATATAATTATCTACTCTGATATATAATATATAATATAATATATGATTATAAGATTATACATCTGTGAACTAAACATTCCAACGGTTAATTATTTTTTCTAACTTTGAGTCAATAATAATTTTCTTTGCATTATTATTCTTCTACAAATTTATACGTACATACATACATATATTGATTTATTTGATACATAATAATACATGTTATATGAAAAAAAAAAA